TTAACATTTAAATAGCTTAGATTTTGTACTGGTTTAGTCTTTCACTACAAGAAAATCGCGTATTACCGACGGATATTTACCGACGGAATTGTAGCCGTCGGAAAATAATCATTACCGACGGAAATTACCGACAGATATAAAATATTTGTGAAATTTGATGTTACCGACGGATATATCCGTCGGTAAAATAATAATTAGTTACCGACGGATATATCCGTCGATAAATCCGTCGGTAATTTATAGATGAATTTACCGACGGATATATCCGTCGGTAAATCCGTCGATAAATTAAGAAGTAATTATCGACGGATATATCCGTCGGTAAATTCATATGTAAATTAAAAATTATTTACCGAACGGATAAATCCGTCAGTAAAATTATATAATATAATTTAATTATTCACTAATTAAAAAATAAAATATTTTTTATTTAATAATTTAATTTAATCATAATTAGATTAATTTATAATAATTTATTAAATTAAGTAATTTTAAAAATAAATATTTAATTATATATAAATATATATAAATAAATATATATATATATAAATATATAAAAATATAAAAATATATAAAAATATATAAATATATAAATATAAAATATAAAAATATAAAAATATATATAAATATAAAATATAAAAATATAAAAATATATATAAATATAAAATATAAAAATATATAAATATATAAATATATAAATATATAAATATATATATAAATATAAAAATATATATAAATATATATAAATATATATAAATATATAAAAATATATATAAATATATATAAATATATATAAATGTATATAAATATATATAAATGTATATAAATATATATAAATGTATTTGTATATTTGTATATAAATATAATTTATTTGTAAATTGTTATCAAGAAATTCTAGTAGCTTAGTGGTTGGAGTATCGACTCTCAACTCTAAGATCTTGGGTTCGAATCCTGCCAATGACATTTCTCTTAATCGACAATAATTCAAAGTTATAAAAATATAATATGGAGAAATAATTGAAATAATTAATAATAAATAATAAGAATATAAGGAGGAGGGGTTCTATAAAAAAATAATGTTATAAATAAGTAAAATATTTAATAATTAATAAAATTATTACCGACGGATCCGATCCGTCGGTAATATTTACCGACAAGCTAATTTCAGACGGATTTTTGTTATTACCGACGGATTTTGACCGTCGGTAATTTTAATATTTCTTTTAGTGTTTGTATTAGTTTAGCTTTATAATGTTTAGTTTTTAAGTAGTTTAGTATTTGTACTAGTTTAGCTTTTATATTTATAATATTTTGTATTGTATTGTATTGTATTGTTGTATTTTGAATTACTGCCTATTAAAAATTTGGAATCTGGATTGTTTGTTATTAAAATATATTTGCAAGTTTTTGTTGTAAGATAAAACAAACTAAATATTAAAAAAAGGATGAAATTTACGTCAGACTCTACTATAATTGACGTAAACTTACGTCTATTATTGTATGATCTGATGTAAATTTACGTCGGATATTGATATATTTAACATAAATTTTGTCCCCATTTTTAGTTTTTAAAACTCGTTTACCCCTATTTCTTACTTTTTCTAGCATAAATTGACATTGATTGCCTACATAACTAATATAAATTTACATTAATTTTTATGTCTAATGTAAATTTACATCTCTCGTATAAACGTCGAATTTATATCTGACGTAAAAAGACCAAAATAACATACGTAAAAACCTTTATCTGCACTAGTATTTGTTCAAGCAAGAATATAAAGAAGTTAGGATCAGTGTAAGACAAATATTTCTTTAAAGATGATTATGTACCAAAAAGTTAATTATAATTATACTTATAAAATTTTATTTTTTTATGGATACAAATGTTATAGAGTATATTATATGCACATGTGCAACGTACTTTATCAACTTGATTAATATATTAGAATAATTAAGTTTTTTTAAAACAACATTATGTATATAATCATGATTTTATGATTGAGCATTAGGATAATTGACTAATTATTCTTATAGATATTTATAATGACTTTGTAGGGTTTTAGTAAAACTAATATTATATAGTAATTATTTTACATATTTATGATTGATTGTATACTACACATGATAAAAATTTGTATTGTATTGGGTTAATTGAATATACAGATAATGGGATAGAGCATAAAACATATTGCTTATTAAAAAAAAAAAACCTAATTTGTGACCACGATTAATATCAAAATCATTGTCATAAACATGTTTGACGCAAAAATTTAACGACTTGATCAAGATTGAAATATAATGATGATTAATTATAAATAATTATCATGGTATTAACATACAACAAAATTCTCATTTATTATTGTATCTTTCAGATATAACGATGACTACGTTAATGAGAAGACTAATTTTAACCGTCTTTAAATATCATTACTAGCAGTGAAATCAAGTTATTCATGTATCTCTTTAATTGGTTCTTACTTTCATATTTTATTTGGTTTATTACTTCTTTCTATATTCATTATTGAATTCTAAATTCTTCATATTTTTATTTGTTTATTATGTTGAATTTATAGTTTAATGTAAAATAACAAAGTTTATTCGTTTTCATATATAACTTCAAATATTTTCATAAAGTCATTTTTAGTGATAATATCGATCTTATGTTACTTTTTTTACTAAGTGAGAATGTATATGTAAGACATAAAATATTTTAAAAATGTTATTTGAATTTTAGTTATAAAGGAAAATCTTACTTCAAGAATTTGTATACTTTTTATGGATTTCATAATAAATTATAATTTTTTGAAAATATATTTCAAAAATAATTATATTTTAATTATTTAAAAAAAAATTAAAATTTGTATATTATATTGATAAATAATAATATAATAAAAAGGAAATAAATGAGAATTTTAAAATTTTCTATCATTAATTAGAATAATAATTAAAATATGATTTTGAACATTTTAATTAAAATTTTTATGTAATAATAAGATCTAAATATTTGAGAAATAATAATTCCTTTAGACATATATTTAAGTATGTGAATTCTGAAAATGTGATAGGGATGATTAATGTTTATGTAAAAAATAATTTGTTTAAAATATATATATATATATATATATATATATATATATATATATATATATATACTGTTTTCGAACTTTTATATATAATTTTGATTTGTTGTCATAATATTATATATTTAAAATCATCTCATTAGCAGTCATTAATTAAGGAACAATAATTTCTCATAATTATTTTAGATAAAATTAATTATTATATAAATAAAAATGTAATGAATAATTTTATCCTAAAATAATATGCATGTGTTAACTCTTTTGCGCTTTAACGTTATTTTCATTTACAAGATGTCCGTTGAACCTAGTTTCTTTTTCTCCGTGTAAAAGTATTATTATAATTAATTTATTATTATTAAACAGTGAACCTTAAAGAAAAAAATATATAAAAAATTTATATAAAAGAAAATAGCAGTAAAATGACTGCGGTATATAATTTGTCCTAATTATGAATCTTATCTTATTTTTAACGAATTAAAGACAAAACGAAATAAAACAAGATAGATTAACATATTTGTTCTTCTATTTTTATTTTTTATTTTTTATTTTGTTGTTTCGTTTTTCTCTCAGTGATACGAATTATATTTCAAAGTATGTTTTTTTTTAAACAAATTCAGCTATGTTTATAATTTATATATGAGAAATTAAAATTTTAAATCAATGTATATATATAGTTATAAAAAACATAAAATCAAACTATCTAGTTTATTGTAAATTATATTTTTTATATTATATTAAATTTAGTATTATATTTAACTTATTCTAAACCTGAATCACATTGTTTTATTGACGTAACCATGGTGAAGGAGACACAATCCAACTACATTTATAAAAATGTAAACACTAGGGATATGGTGTAGATTATTAAATAAAAAATCGCTGCAAGGATCACGAGTGCTCAGTACCTTCTATATATTAATATGTTAGGTGATTAAAGTGGACCCAAAAAATCTCTTTTATGAATTTAAAAACTATGCTAAATTATTAAGTTACAAAGTAAGTCATGATGGTAAACAATTATTTCCTAAAACTTATGTATATATAAACAAAAAAAACGTTAAAAAGAGGGAGACATACATAGATATGATCGATAAGCACCCATTTAAAATGTATATTAATTAATCTAATAATTCAAACCTAACCAGGGTGACCACAAGCTTCCAAATGAAAAACGATCTTCAATTATGCCACTTTTCATTTTTATATTGCATTCTTTAAATTCCAATTTCTAAATCACAACTTTTATATTGTGCCAACCACCAAAAGGGGAAGACAATCAAAGTTTCCAGTTTCATTTAATATCAATATATTCTCTCCAAATGGCAAAAACAATGCAAATGTTGAACTATTCCCCGTAATTGGTTATCCTAAAATAGTATATAAATAATGTTTGAGTTCAACGTACAAATAATAATAAAATAAATAAATAGAAACCAAAATAGAGTAAAATATATTTATTTTAATGGAAACAAATGAAGAATTTTTTTACTACTTATTTGAATCAATAAAAGAATGTGAAAAATTAATGTGTAAAGTTTTCATACTAATTGAAAATTTTTTATATAACTAAAAAAATTTACTTTTGTACTGTATTAATAGTTTTAATTTTTGTTCAGTGTTATGAATTTTTTTTAAAGAAAATAAACTAAACTTTATGTCTCAGGTAAAACAGTTTGCATAATTAACTAATAAAATGTCATGGTTATCGGTTTTTATAATTAAAAGATGTAAAAAATGTTATTATCATTCCATTCAGTGTTTATTTAATTACTTCTGATATTATATCACGTGAATCATAAAATAATGGCACGGGAACGTTCACAAATATTTTATCATCTATGCAACCAGAGTTGTTGTCTATTTAAAGAAAACCCTAAGCCATGAAGCTGCAAAAGTTGTGGTAGATTAACAGTGAGGAGAATGAAGGTGTTTGTTTTGTTTGTTGCTATAGCTGTAGCAGCATGGCAATGCCATGGTTCAGACCATGGGCATGAGTACCAAATTTTCCCTCTCAGAATGAAAACTGGGCATGGTGGCCACTACATTCCAGAGGTTTCATGCCAAAGTTGGAGGCTTGGTGTGGAAGCACATAACGTGATTGATTGGAAAACTGTTCCTCTAGACTGTGAGGGATACATAGGGAACTATATTCTTGGTGACCAATATAGATCAGACTCCAAAACTGTTGCCCGTGAAGCTTATTATTATGCCAAAACCCTAAACATCACTGCCAAAGACATATGGGTGTTTGATGTAGACGAGACTACACTCTCTAATCTCCCATATTATGCTGACCATGGATTTGGGTACGTTCTGTTTTTGCTTATCCATATTCTCTGTATGTCAAAAACAAGCGTATCTTTATGTGAAAAGTAACAGTTCATAATATTTTGAATAGGGTGGAACCATACAACGCGACGGCGTTTAATGAATGGGTTGACCTTGGAGAGGCACCAGCACTGCCGGAGAGTCAGAAACTGTACAAGAAATTGTTGTCACTTGGCATCAAGATTGTGTTCTTGACAGGAAGACCACTGGAACAGAAGGCTGTCACAGTTACCAACTTAAAGCTTGCAGGATACAACAAATGGGAGAAGATAATTACCAAGTGAGTTTCTTTTTACTGCTATGAAATTTCTATGTATTTCATTTTCATCAATCAACTTCATTAGTAAATAAATATTCACTCTAAATTTACATACTTTATGTTTTTTGTGATTTGTCTGAAATTTGACGTAGACATATAGTTGTCAAGATAATATTTCAAACTTTATATAGTTTATTCAATGACATGAATTATTGTAGATCCAAAAAATAATTGACCCTGTTCCAAACAAATGTATATGGCGTGCAAGGAAAAACAACAAACTAGCTGAATTATTGCCGGCGTGTAAAGAAGAACATTAGATGAGTTTTAAACAAATCAAATTTTCTTACAATATTTGTGTTAGTTTATATTAATTCATCAAATACTTTATGTTTTGTGTAATATTTTTTTGAATAGAATAATATTATAAAAAGGCCTTGGATAAGTTTGATTAATTGATGATAACATTAACAAATAAGTACGTAGGACAAACTTAGAAAGGGACTTGTAGGGCAAGGAAAACAATGAATCGCAAAGAAAAAGAAAAGCATATATTTGAGTTAAGATTATTTTAATGTCATGCATTAGGACATGATCAGAATTTAGAGAATTAGTTTTTGGTATCCTAAAAGGTGAAAAGTTTGATTATATTATGTATAATATCTCAACTTCAAACTTTTGTTATCATCATTACGCAACAATAATTGTTAGAAAAAGTATGATATAATTGGTTTTTGTTATAGGGATACATCAATATACCATGGGAAAACAGCAGTAACATACAAATCAACAGAGAGAAAAAAGCTGGAGGAACAGGGATACAAGATCATTGGAAACATTGGAGACCAATGGAGTGATATTCTAGGAACCAACACTGGAGATAGAACCTTTAAGCTTCCTGATCCCTTGTACTACATTAGTTGAGGTTTACCAAGCATGCTCCTATGAATGAAATAAGAAACTCCATGTGTAACAATAATTGCTATGTATGTGACTTTGTCTGAGACTAAAATGTACCAGATTTGTAAGGGCTGTTTTTTGTTTTCTATAACCTAAATGCACCATTGCTTATGTCTTGAATTTGCTCGAACAAATAACTGGTGACTAAGAGATTGGGTGGAACCACTCAAATTATGACGTGGATGACATTATAACACTGACATGGTTGTTTCTCCTTTATGATGTGTTTTGGAACTATGTGAAGTGTGGAACAAAAGAAGTTACAACTTCATTATAAAACTATAGAAAAAAAATGAAGTTTTATTATAAGAGGTTTCTTTTTTTTTTTTTAACAAAATAATATGTGTATTTTATTATTCAAATCAATTCAACTTTTTACCCTTTCAACAAATATTAAGAAAAAAATTATCATTATTTAAAATCAATTCACTTTTTTATTTTTAATTTCTTTGAAAGTCAATTTTAATTGATGAAATAATTTATTTGTTTTATTTTATATTTATTTCCTATTTTAATATTTTATTTTTAATTAAATAATGTATTATTTTATTATAACACTCACGTGCGGAACATAAATAATATAAAATTTTAAGTTAAAAAATAGGTGTTATTTTCTTAGTGTATAGTAATGAAATACACCTGTCTTTAGGGTAACTTTTCCCTATGCAAGGACAATTATTCTGCCTTGTTCCAAAGCAGTTTAATATTTTAGTAGTGGCTTATCATTAGTTTATTTATTTATTTTAATTTTAAATAGTAAATAATTATATATATATATATATATATATATATTCCTTTAGTTATATTTTAGTTAATTTTTTATTTAAATAAAATTAATAAATAAAAATAATAATAAAATCTCATTTTTTCTCCTTTTTAAATATTTTCAATCATAGGTTCTCTTCTCTCATTTTACTGCCTTGTTGAAATGTTCTCTTATATTTATTTATATCTAATTTTTCTTTGGAATAAAATTAATAAATAAAAATAATAAAATATTATCATTTTCTTTCTTCTTCAAACATATTCAATTATAAGTTATATGTTATTTCTTTCTCTTATAGAAAATTCTTTTGTATTGAAAAAAAAAATTTGTCATAAAAAATAAAGACACATGTATATATTTTCGCCGGTTATAATTATAATTATATTTCTCGCTTCTTCTTTTTTTCTTCTTCTTCGTTGACAGCATTTGATTTGTTTAAATATTTTTTGTTTATATATATATATATATATATATATATATATATATATATATATATATATATATATATATATATATATATATATATATATATATATCCCTACTGAAAAGCCTGCCATTTGAAAGTGACTTATGCAAGCCAAAACGTACATAAAAATTGCAAAATTGAAAAAACAGAGCATCTTTCTTTAAAAAAAAACAATATAAACCAAAATTTAAATAATTAATTTTCATAATATTAATTCAATATAATAAATAATATTTTTTTAATATTTATTTAAATTTTAATCAATTTATTTATCTAATTAGATTTATTTATTATTTATATATAAAATTGTAAAATAATTTTTTTCTTCTTCATTTTTTTATCATTTACTTATTATTTTTCTTATTCATCTTTTATTTCTTTTATCTTATTCTTTTACTTGAAAATATTACATTAAAATTTAATAAAAATATATTAAAATACTTTTTTCTAAATTAATATTAAAAATAAAATAAAAATATTTTTTAACATTTTTTAAAACAATTTTTTAAATTGTTTAATCCGACTATTCATAACTTAATTTAATGATAATTAAATTAAATTATTAAATAAAAAATAATTTTATTTTATAACTATTTAATATTTTTAAATTATTTATTTATTATTATTATTATAAATAAATTATTTAGTATTATATATAAATTGTTATATTAAATTTTACAAAAACCATCTTAAAAAGTATATGAAACCAAGATATTTTTTTCAGTATATGGTTGATTACTTTTAGAAAGGACAAAAACCATTATACTCAATTATATCGCTGACGTAGTAATGTGTTTGGTAGGTGACAAAATCAATATTCTTTTTACCATGAAAGGCTATGAACGACATCTCGCATAATGTCTTCGTGAATTATTTTTTAATTGACCGACACCAACATTACTTTTTTGTCAAAATTGGGTTACGATATTTTTCTATTGTCAACTAGGAAACTTTCAACCAATCTTGATTATGAATTTTTTATCAATGGAGAAGTTTTCAACTGACATTCTTAATAAATATTTATTTTTATAATTAAAAATAGCCTAAATACTTTTTTAGTCCTTAAAAGTATATAATAATTCTTGTTTAATCCCTAAAAATATCAAAATATAGAATTAATATCTTTAATTTAAGATATATCATTCATATTAATCATTGAAATCAACGACGGTAACTAATAAAATGTCATGTGTAAGTGATATGTGAATTACCACTTTTTTTTATGTGATTGACACCTTACTGGAATTTTAAGTAAAATTTAGACTTAAATACCCTTTTAGGTATTTGAAGAACATTACAATTTCCCTTTTAATCCCTCTAAACACTGAAATGTAACATTCATATCCAATTTAATATTTGATATTCAGGTTAATAATATTAACTAATGATATTATATGACATATCACCTCTCAATTACTATTTTTTTAGGATAACTATATGATAATTAATTTTTTTATTTTTATTCAGGGTATTTATAATGTGTTTATCATGGAAAAATATGATTTATTTGTGAGTTCTTTTTATTTAAATTATTAAAAACTACTATTTTAATTTAGACATAAATATAAATTAATATCTTATTTAATAATTATTATAAAGTTAATTTTTATAATGAATATCTCACTTATTAATTTAATAAAGATATTTATAAAGTTATTTTGATCTTGAAAATTATTTTTGAATTTATACACTGTTTAATTAGTTAATAAAAATTTATGGAGATGAAAAAAGATTTTCGGAAATAAAAGGATAAACTTTGAAAAGAAATTTTATGGAAATATAAATTATTAAAAAATATAAATTACTGACAAATGTAAATTACTAAAAAATATAAATTATTAATGATAGAAAAGAATATGGTACAGGAAATTAATAAAAATTATGACCAAAATTACAAAAAAACTCAATTAAAAAAATGTTATTCTTATTCGTAAGGTTTTTTTAGAATACAAGTTTTTTAATATAATTGTGTAACTTTTCTTAACACCTTTTTAACCTATTTATACTTATTATTTTTTATAACTACTAAATAAAATAAAATAAAAAAGATTTTTCAATTAATTACTTTTATCCTCCATATCGGTTCCACTAGTACATGTATTATTTCTAATCGTTTATATTTAATTATCTAGAAGTTATATTTACTCTACATTTCTCTTGATTTATAATTTCATTTCGATAATACTCATCTTTTATTTCATCCATTATTCACTTTATCTTATTATTTCATGCTTCAATTTTTTATACTTCTCTACATTTAAGGCCTCGATCTTCCTCTACCCTTAATACTCGATTTTCGATTTTTTTTCCTATCCTTAATAGTCGGTATCTTTATCTTCTTCTATCCTGAATATTTGATTTTCCAATCTTCTCTATCTTCTTCCACTTTCGATGTTTTTTATTTTTATTTTTATATATAAATTTATATATAATCAGTTTACGGTGAAAATTTGATCGATTTTGATTTTTCAAAGACTTAGGTTCTAACCAAATTTTAACCACGTAGATTCTTTTTATTTAAGCTAGCAAACGGTTTTCAATCGAAAAAATGCATGAGAATCGAAAATCTCATGGTTTCGAAAAATGTAAACAACACAACTTAGTATGCAAATCGAAAGTACTATTTTTGGTATTTTTCATTAAGAGACGCGAAGTAAAGAAAACGATAAAAAATGTCGAATCGAAAGATAGTGCGAGAATATTAAATTGCGAGAAAAATGTAAAGTCGCGGAAACCTCAAATTTGTATTAAGTGTAAAAGGCAAGGAATCGAAATTGCGGAAATGTAAATAGCGAGAAATCGAAATTGCGAGGAACGTAAATGGCGAGGATCTTAAACGCATAACCTTAACTTGCATAAAAGTAAATGACAAGGAATCGACAGGACAAAACTTAAAGTTCGACAAACGTAAACTACAATGAAAGTAAATTACCAGGGAAAGTAGAGAAAGCGATAAAGATAATCAATGAAAACGGAAATCCAGAGCATTAGAAACTTCATGATGCGTCGTTCTCCTGTAGACTGTTCACTTGCGCTTCTGTTGTCTCTGCCAATTTCCCCTTCTTCTTCATGCTTCATTCTATTTATAGGTCCGCTTTAACGTAGCTTCCTAAGAGCAGTTTAAAAAACTGCTACCACGTTCCATGTACACGTACGTTAGCTATCTATTTCTTTTTATCTTAGCTGCGGTTTTGAAAAACCGTTTCCCACGTTCCATGTGCATGATAATCGTTCCTTTAATATTGACTTCAACCATCGAAAACTATTTCTGGCTTTCCATTTAACTTCATACTCAATACCTTTCATCGATTTTTACTTCCCCATGATCATCGAATTTCCTGTATTTCTTTCGATTCTCGATTCCGATTCTCGAATTTCTTTAGCAATAACCATTGAATCCTCTTCTTTTGTTTCATCGATTTTTTGTGTTGATTTTTTACAAACAAATGCCCCCTCGAAAGAATATAATTTGTATCAACTTTATATTCTTTCGAAATAACTCCCGCCCTTTTAAACGTTCTCGAAGCTCATAATATCTTTTTAGGGTTTAGGGTTTCTAGGGTTTCTGGGGTTTTTAGGATTTTATGTCAAATATCAAATCATATCCCATCTGCTGTCACAACGAGCATGCCACATTAATTACCCTCTTCCCATCCGTCGTTTCAAATACCCTAACTCGGCCTCTTAAAATACTTTTATCGGTTTTCACCCTTGTTTTTTACCACAAACCTC